GTACCATGCATTCTTTTCGAGGTACCCGTAAAATTATGAATGAAGGATGAAGGATATCCTCCATACCCACCAAAACCTCATCCGAACGCCTACGCACCATCGCATTATCTTTCACCCCCGAGCCACCCCCAGCCACCACGCCCCACATTTCAACCATCAATGTTCACGCCAAGACAACGATCAACTACCGCGACGCGTTTTGGTCCCTATGGAAACAGAGCATATGCATCAGTAGTCCGCGAATCATCTACAATGTACGGGACATGTTGCGAATACTGCGCTGAACCCAATCATAGAGCTAACACTTGTCGACATGGAATCCAACTCCAATGTCGCCGATGTAACCAGCTTGGTCACAAAGAGAAGTTTTGCACTTATTAAAAGACTGGCCAAGAAGAGAGTGCCAATGATCACTCGCCTGTGCACCTCGACGAGCCTAATATTAAAACATGTACTCCATATTTTGAACATGACAATAAAAATAATCCAAACAATCTAAAATGTATATCCTTAAATGCAAGAAGCGTTGTGAATAAGATCGACGAAATAAGAACAATTATTGAACATGATAAACCTGATGTTTTTTGTATTACGGAGACTCATTTATGTCCGGAAATTTTATCTTCTGAGATATTTCCCCAAAATTTTAAGGTAGTACGAAAAGATAGGAATAGACATGGTGGAGGAATTCTTATAGCATATCATAATATTTTGTCAGTACTCCATAGAGAAGACCTTGAGTCAAACTGCGAAATTATTTGGTGCGAATTATTTTTTAAAGAAACAAAATCTATTTTTCTTGGAGTTTTTTATAGACCTCCAAACAGTAAAATAGAAAGTATTTATGAATTTGAAAAATCTATGTCATTAATAACTCATAATGGTAAAAAAATATGCAATGTTATTCTGACAGGAGATTTTAATTTACCAAGTTTGAAATGGGTAAACGGATATAATGTCACATCCGAAAACTCTGAGTTAACAAAATATTTTATGTCGGTTATTGACAACAATTTTCTATATCAACATGTAAGTCAACCAACAAGAATTACTGATAAGACTTGTAACATACTAGATTTATTATTTACGTCTCATCCATCAGATGTGTCTAAAGTTAATATAATTCCTGGTATAAGTGACCATGAGGCTATAAGTTTCATTATTTGTTGTATGAATAACAGTGAATTAAAAAAGAAACATATATATTTTTATTCTAAAGCTAACTTTGAACAATTCCGAAAAGATTTGAAAGAAGCACCTTTATCTGAAGAAAACAGAGATGTTAATGTGAAAGAATATTGGCAGTTGATTAAATCTACAATAATAAAGATTTGTGATGCAAATGTTCCGCATGGTAATTTAAGAAAAGGATCAAATGTTCCGTGGGTAGATAAGGATTTAAGGAAATTGATGAGAAAAAGAAATAGAGCGTTTAAGAAAGCTAAAAGAACAACTAAGAGAACCCAATGGGAAAAATACAGACAGTTGAGAAAAGAAGTAAAAAAGAAAGTTAAATTGAAATATGTGAATTATTTACGCAATGATATATGCAATAGTCTTAAACGTAATCCTAAACTTTTTTGGAATTTTATTAAGTCCAGAAAGTGTGACCGTGGTATGATAGATTGCTTAAATGTCAGTGGTAGAATTATTACTGAAGATCAACAAAAAGCTGATGTTTTTAATGAACAATTTAATCAAATTTTTAGTAATTGTGAAACCCTTTCCCAGCCCGAATGAAATATTAATGCTCCTATTATGGAGGATATTCAATGTACCGAAGCTGAAGTCTTAAAGTTGTTAAAGAATGTAGACATTTCAAAAGCGCAAGGCCCCGATGAATTAGCCCCATGTTTGTTGAAAGAAGGTGCAGAACAATTGGCACCTGCTCTTTGTAAACTTTATAAGCCCGAATCAAATAGTAATGCTCCTATTATGGAGGATATTCAATGTACCGAAGCTGAAGTCTTAAAGTTGTTAAAGAATGTAGACATTTCAAAAGCGCAAGGCCCCGATGAATTAGCCCCATGTTTGTTGAAAGAAGGTGCAGAACAATTGGCACCTGCTCTTTGTAAACTTTTTAATCTGTCTTTGTCATCAGGTGTATTGCCAGCCGATTGGCAAAAAGCTAATATATCACTATGAACATGACAGACAATGAAAGCGGACAAAATATACAGTTCCTCAGGTAAACAAAGGGACATCCCTTCACTGCTATTATGTAAAAATGTGTAGAACAGGTGTCACATGCATATTCACCTGTTCTACACATTTTTACATAATAGCAGTGAAGGGACGTTCCTTTGTCTACCTGAGGAACTGTATATTTTGTCCGCTTTCATTGTCTTTCATGTTCATAGTGTATGTCCATTGTATAAAAAGGGTAACAAACAGGATCCGGGTAATTATCGCCCTATATCTCTTACGTCCATTACATGCAAGATCTTAGAACGCATAATTTGTAAACGTCTTATTGAACATTTTAATGAAAATAATATACTATGTGACAATCAACATGGTTTTCGGGAAAAAAGAAGTTGTGAAACACAACTTATAGAAGCAATTAATGATTGGAGTTATAATATGGAGTCTGGTTCAAGCGTCCACATTGCTTTCCTTGATTTTGCAAAGGCGTTTGATAGTGTACCTCACGACCTTTTAAGAACAAAACTTGAAATGTATGGTGTAAGATCTCAAAATTTAGAATGGATAATGAATTTTTTACAGAATAGATATCAAAGGGTGGTTATAAATGGCGAATGTTCTTCATGGATCAAAGTTAAATCAGGCGTTCCGCAAGGAACAATTTTAGGCCCGATATTGTTTTTATGTTTCATTAATGATATGCCTAATAATATTTCATCAACTATTCGATTATATGCGGACGATTGTATATTGTACCGTCCAATTTTCAATGTAGATGATTGCAAGATATTACAAAATGATTTAGAAGTTTTAAGTAAATGGTCTGAAACATGGATGCTCGACTTTAATGTATCAAAGTGTAAAACTATGAAAATGTCTCGAAAGCTTCACGATATAACATATAATTATTCTCTCAATGGACAGGAGTTAACAAATGTAAAGTCTGAAAAATACTTAGGTCTTGTAATAAATGATTCTTTAAACTGGAACGACCATTGCACTGACTTATATACAAAATGTAACAGGATCATGGGAATTATAAGACGGAATTTTGTTAATTGTCCAAAGTCTATTTTAAAAAGTCTTTTTGAATCACTAATTCGCTCACGTTTAGAATATTGTTGTACAGCATGGGATCCCTATAGAAACACACACAAAGAGAGGATTGAACGTATTCAAAAACGTTACGTAAGGATGATGTGTAAGGATTGGTCTACGAGTTATAACGTGTTATTACAAAATGTCAAAATGAATTTATTAGAAAATAGACGAAAGTACCATAGACTTGTTTTTTACTATAAGATTGTAAATAACTTGATTAATGTAGGAGAAGTAAATAGGTGCACACGAGCGAACAGAATAGGAAGAAATGATAATACTTTTAAGATGCACGTTCCATATGCCAGAACAGACTATTATATGAAATCCTTTTATCCCCAAACAATTAATGAATGGAATCAACTCCCACAAAGAGTAGTAAACAGTCAATTGCTAAATACCTTTAAATCGGCTCTGGTAAAACATCTCAATCTAGATTTTTAAAATAGAAGTGTCTTGCAATTTCTAACTTGTATTTCTGTTGTTGTATTTATATTGAACTATAACCTATGTCATACTTCGATATTTTATGTATTAGTATTTACTGTGTAATTATGTATGCCATTTTACTGTCCATATCTGGGATGCAAACTTGTATGGGTTTTTCTAAACCTTGTTTTGTAACCCAAGACATGTATATATTTTTATATTGTCTGAATAAAATAAAATCAAATCAAATCAAAATCAATCACATGTACCATGCATTCTTTTCGAGGCAGCCGTAAAATTATGGATCTTCAGTGACTGGTTTCTCAGAAACTAGTGCTATAAAGCCAGTCACAGAGAAATTATGATTTCGACCCGAGTCTCTTCTAAGTGCATGGTATAATTGACTTTATTCAAATATAGAATTTCTTGGTCAATTTCGTAAGTTAGCCACACAAATGCTATTTATGTTCATTCAATTTCGCCGATTCTGTCACCGCAGCTGTTAATTTTCTTTCAAATTCGATTTTTAGCGTTTAAATTCATAAAACGATTATTCAAAAAAACATTTTATTTTCATTCGAATTATTAAAACGTGTTTCTTTTTCTTAAATTTTCATTCAATTTAAAGATACATGTACTATATCCCTTTTGCAGCCAACATCAAATCTGTAGAACTTTGCATAAATTATTAATATGTTATGTATGTCCTATCTGTGAAGTTTAAACGTAATTAGCAGTGTCCTAATATTCAAATTATGAAAGGAAATCTGTTTCCTTGCTAGACTTCACTGTCAGACACTATTGAGTGACTGACTGGCCTTTTTTCTTCTTTGGTAATAACATACATAAAATGAGCTGTATTGGGTACATAAGCATTTGTCTACATCAATAACCACTTCTTTTTATGGCCAAAAATAAACTGATTGAATCTTGCGCAGCATAAAACGTACGCCCATTCGGTACAATGGTCTAAAAATCAGACTATTACTGGCTCTATAGCTCTTAAGTCTATTGAAAGCATTCCCCCACCTAGCCTGTATGACCGAGAATACATGAAGATTAGCAATGTGACACTTTAGTCTAGTGGGTAGGCAATCGCCTGATAACTGGAAGGTATCGGGTTCGACCCCCAGCTGTTGCGTTTTTTTCTTTTGCTACATCTACAAATCAGCAAATCAGCAGAGAGGTACAGAAGACAGTACAATAAGAAAGCAAAGGAGAGAAAGTTTGAAGTTGATGATGAAGTCCTTCTTCTACTTCCAAGTGACAACAACAAACTGTTGATGCACTGGAAAGGACCCTTCAAGGTGGTAAAGAAGATAGGACAAATGGACTACAGAATTGATAAGGATGGAAAGATAAAAACCTTCCATGCAAATCTTCTGAAGAAGTACTACAGGAGAGAGGAGAGTGCAGGTGGGTTTGATGTTGCTGGTGTCTCTGTTGTGGATGATGGCTTGTCTGAGGAATGTAGCGAAGGAGAGAATGAAGATGTAAACCATTCTTCGAGAAAGGATATTCTTCATCTCCCCAATCTTACCCCAACAGAATCTCTCAAAGATGTGCAGATCAGTCCACATCTAGATGATAAGCAGCGTGAGGAGGTCAACTCTCTTTTACGGGAGTATGAAGAAGTTTTGACTGATATGCCGGGATTGACAAACTTAGGTAAGCATGACATTAAACTTGTCCATAAGGAACCCATTAAGAGTAAACCGTACCCATTACCACATGCTTTGCGAGGTAAGGTGAAGGAGGAGGTTCAGAAGATGATAGATGTTGGCATAGTTGAATCCTCGTCTTCTCCTTATGCATTCCCGGTAGTGATGGTAAAGAAGAAAGATGGGACGATCAGGTTTTGTTGTGATTATCGTAAGTTAAATCAAGTTACCGTAACTGATGCAGAACCGATACCTGATCAGGAAGAAATATTTGCAAAACTTTCTAGGGCCAAGTATTTCACAAAGATTGATCTAACCAAAGGGTATTGGCAAGTACCCTTAACAGAGGAAGCCAAGGAACTGACAGCATTTGTGACACCAGATGGTTTGTATCAATTTCGAGGCAATCGACAGCTAGCTGGCAATCGACAGCTAGCTGGCAATCGACAGCTAGCTGGCAATCGACAGCTAGCTGTCGCTAGGTTTACAACGTTTTACATTTTCAATTATAATTTCCTACTTTTATTCACTCTCTACAGTCCCGTACTATCCCTTTTTTAGTCTGTAAACAACTTTGCAACACGAAAACAATGATGAACAGGGTTTTACTTCTCGTATAAATTTATTAGAAGCGCCCTATGTCATTTTGCACGAAGTGATACAAAGGGCCTTTCAAATTTAAGTCTATTGAAAGCATTCCCCCACCTAGCCTGAATGACCGAGCAGAATCATTTAGTGCTCAACAATAAAAATCTACAGTCTTGGCTAAAGAGGTCCATTATTTGTTTGTTTATTTAGTTATTTTATTTAATGTACATTGTACAGTACTATTAAATATCAGGTATATTGGATGCTCTGTTTTAAATACAGTCAAGATTGCCGAGCAATGAATTACATCCTGCTTCTTGTCCTCAAACCATATCTTTCTGGTTTTTAAAACGGTATCATTTGAATTTCCATTTCCAAGCATTATTTTGAACTGTCCCGAAATTGTTTTCCTTTCTTTAAATGAGACTACAGCCCCAGTCTAAAGTGCTTGTCCTCCCAGACAAGGACAAAGAGCCTCTTCGGTAGGTTTAGGGACAATGCATCAAAATAACGCGGTCATTGTTGCAATGTCAGGAATGCTATTATTACCTCCTCTTTGGTAATCTTCGCATTTGACCAAACAAAAGTCACTCAATGAAGGGAGGGTCAGGTTTGTTTTCAATTCACTAATATTATTGATGCCATGTCAGAAAGAGCTGAGTAGTTTGTTACGTAACTATTCAAAAATTGCAGGTGCAAGCTATTGAAAACAGAATCGAATAGCCAAGCTTCCCTATTCATTGGTGCCCTGTTATAGAATTCGTAGCATATACTGAATTGAATAGACCCGTGTTCTATTCATTATACTATGTGAGGGCAGTGGCCTCTTGTCATATCACTTTAAGTTTAAGTCAGCAGTTTGCAAATTAAATGAAATAAACATAAAACCTCACTATTATATCAGTAATATCAGTAACTGAAAGAAAAAAAATACGGCCAATCTTGACAACATCGGACTACAAAAATAATGATAATAATGCATCCCGAAAGCGTCAAATCAGTAAATCGGCACATTTTGTAAAGTCATTAGCATGCAGAAAGTGTTAACAACAAAAAGCGAACCAGTTATCACGGTGAGGCAAAATGGTCTTGTGGATAAAAGTGATCACTTCACAATGCAATGTACTCGGTTCGAGTCTCAGTTTCTCCTTTATATAAACCCATGTTATTTTTTTTTCTTCACTCCATAATATTGACTTGTCATCTCTTTTTTAAAGGGGACACCCCCCCCCCCCCCCTCAACAAAGAAAAAATAGCATGTAATACTCTTTCTTTAACAAGCGACTCTCTGAATTAGTCAGAAAACATCTTTTGCTACATCTACAACAATTAGTGTAAGTATGAAGAATACATGAAGATTAGCAATGTGACACTTTAGTCTAGTGGGTAGGCAATAGCCTGATAACTGGAAGGTATCGGGTTCGACCCCCAGCTGTTGCGTTTTTTTCTTTTGCTACATCTACAACAATAAGTATAAGTATGAAAAAAAAAACATGGAGATTAGCAATGTGACACTTTAGTCTAGTGGGTAGGCAATCGCCTGATAACTGGAAGGTATCGGGTTCGACCCCCAGCTAAAGAGAGCCAAAAAGAGACAAGTGAAGAGAACCCAATACACCTCATCAGTGTAATAAAGTCTGATGATCTTTATCTACATACTTACTTCAAATATTTTGCCGGGCAGATATTATTATTTATAAAAACAAACCAATTTTGGAGTTTTATAATAAATATTATTGTTGTTGTTGTTGTTGATGATGTAAAACAATGAGAAAATAGGGACCTTTTGCGGGGGGGGGGGGAACAATGTAGAAAAAACTACAGGGGAGCCTTGGGATTTTTATTTGGGGGGGGGGGTGGGTATCGGCGCGGATTCAGGATTTCTTAGGGGGGCCCAAACTTGAAATCAATTTGAAATTTAATGTGCTGAAATAAAAAAAAAATCGTGCCGGCCGATATTTCACTCAGTGGTAGAGGGGGAAGGGGGAGGGGGGAGGGGGGGGGGGGGGGGGTAGAGAGCACTATTTTTTTGTTTGGCCCTCGAAAATTTGAAAAATCCCCCCCCCCCCACATTAATCGCCAGGGGGGTCCCAGCTGGCAATCGACAGCTAGCTGGCAATCGACAGCGTAGCCTGGCGGCGGTAGCGGGTAGCCCCAAAGCCATGTCCATTTAAAAACTGGATTCAAGAGCCTCTTATTGCTAGGTTTACAACGTTTTACATTTTCAATTATAATTTCCTACTTTTATTCACTCTCTACAGTCCCGTACTATCCCTTTTTTAGTCTGTAAACAACTTTGCAACACGAAAACAATGATGAACAGGGTTTTACTTCTCGTATAAATTTATTAGAAGCGCCCTATGTCATTTTGCACGAAGTGATACAAAGGGCCTTTCAAATTTAAGTCGATTTGACAACTAATAGTCATTATTTTCCCACTTATAGACATTTTCAAGCCCCCCCCCTTTTTTTTTAGGGAAGTTGTAAATTAGTATTATCTTTTAAATGCCGTTGGAATTTAACCTTTTCATTTTATTGGCCTGCAAATGGGACATAGTATGTAATAGCGTCTTCCGTGAATTCAAATTCGTTTCTTTGCATACAATTTAACACGTTTAGCAGAAAAATTAAACATGTAAATCTTACCCAGTATGATATAGAACCCCACAAGCTTAGTTCCATGCTAAATCCATTTCAAATTGTATAGGTTGGTAAGCAACAAACATGTTATTTATCCTCACTAGGGGTGTATACCCACTAAATCATCACGATTTAGCAACTGAACGTTCATGTGTTAAGTAGATATAACCTAGCCACATCAATATAGAATTAGCATGGAACTGAGTAAGAGTGTCTTTTTTATGAATATGCAATGATATAAGTGCAAGCAAAGTGTGTGTTTACAGACTACAGTTGTATTTATTAGAGTGGCGTACCATAATGGTGGGGGGGGGGGGTATCAATTACGATTGTGACTGAGATGGTAATTGTGACTGTGATCACGATCGGGATTGTGATTCAGTGTGATGGTGATTCAGATTTTGTTGTGATTATGATTGTGATTGAACTGATACTCATAGATTGTTCTTAACATGTTCAATACAGACTAAATAAAATTAACACAGATATAAATGGCTTCAAAGAGATTACAAACATCGTATAAATTATCAAAAACAAAACCAAACAAAACATAAAAAATGAATCAATGTTTAGAGTATTGATACCCTCCCCCTACCATTATGGTACGCCACTCCAATACATACAAATACAAATCAATGATTATGAATATACAATATTCAGAAAATAGTATCAATTCTTCAAAGTTCATGAAAGATTTTGTGAAATGTATGCAAGCAGTATGATACAAATCATATGGCCTGGGCAAAAGCATGGGGAAATCAAGTTTTGGGGGATAAAAAAAGAAATTAATGGGACAAATATATAAAGCAATTGATAAATAGTGAGGCAATGACGTCACAAACTGATAACCAAATTTGCAATTTGTGTTGTGATTTTCTAAGTCCCATAGCTCTTTATACTTCATAAAAATTCATAACTTCCCTGTTAGTTATCCGATTTTACTTAAATTTTGTTTGCTCTGTTTGTCTTGTTTTTTCTGCATCTATTAAAAGCAAATTATTTTTAAAGTGGAATTAGACTTTCCCATAATTCTCTCATTCCCTCTCTTTATTGCATAAAGAAAATATGAATATAATCTTTTGCTTTGATTAAGAACATTTGAACATTTTATCAGTATCAAACAGGGAAAAGAAGTGGAGAGGAAATTATTCAAAACGAACATTTAAGATACCTGCTAAATGTTCATTCGTGATAGATACGAATGCAAGTATGCTGTGGAAAAATTCATTATAGAGCGATGATAAATCAATTATTTGACGTCGATTGATTCGTTCATTTTACATGAATGCGGTGACTTGTCGGTAAAAGACCGGCAGGCTGTGGTATCTACTCAATCTATCAAACGATACGAAATCTAGCTGTAGTTAATACACAGACGAGAAAATAAATAAAGCAGGTAGATGCCAGAATGATGACGATGACAATGATTACAAATTTGAATACAAAAATAATCAAACAATCTGTTCTGAGGTCATATTTATTGCAATTTTAGGCAGTTTTATCCACCAGCGTGTTATTGAACAATATTTATGCTCGATAAAAAATGTTTGTAAAAGGTATGTAATTTTCCCAGCTCAGCACATGTTCGCAACTTTTTTTAAGGGTGGAGCTTAGCAGGTCTGAACTATAAATGATTCTAAGAAAAATATTTAAGAATCTATGAAATATATTTAGATGTTTGAATAACAAAATATGAGTTGTTTTCAGCCCTGCAAATCAACAGGAATCAACTTATGTTTGGATGTCACCCGACATTTAAAGGGACTTGGTAAAATTATT